TCCAGGAAATAATCCAAAGATTATCTTTCCAATCAAACCTCCACTAATCCCTTTGCCTAAATTAGGTTTCCACAATACAAAATTTAAAAATAATTAATATCTGACTGCCTAATCTCTAATTTCATCTGATTTTTCCATTTATCTTTAATAACAAGGGTAGATCATTTCAACTATTGAGCATGTAAAGATCATGGCTAATCTGTGACCTAACTTTACATACCCACTTTCATATCATATTCCTTAATACCTTTTGTAAACAAATAAATTATTGATATCAGATTTAGAGTTAACAGTTTATCTCGTATCAGTTGCTGTTTCTGCAAGACCATTGAAATGTTGCTGAATTTCATTCTTGAAAGATCGAGCTCTAATTTTTAGATTATGCACTGTAGTTCTAGAATCCTGCACAACCGAAATTGTGCGTGCTTTTGTGGAGTTGAGGCTGAGATGAGATTGGCCATGATCATATTAAATGGCAGAACAGGCTCAAGGGGCTGAATGGCCTACTCCTGCTCCTAGCTCTTTATGTTCTCATTATTTATAGAGAAGATCTATTTCATATCTGTTACCTTTAATACCTTGAAAGCTTTATTCAAATCATCCTTTAAACCTAAATTCCAGCATTTGCCCGAGTTTATATAATGTCTCCACAATTTTATGGTAGAGGCTGCTGAACTGTAGCCCAAATATTAGGCTGGAATGAAGCGAACATCAAGTGCAGACCCTGAATAATTCTGATATAGACTTAATTCTCCTCGGATGTCCATACTATCTAGCCTAGTCTATCTACGGCTATTGGATATTCATGTATCTTGGGCAAAGCAAGAGTGTGAAAAGCTTTTACCTTTGGTAAGGGCCCAACCTTCTATGCCCAATTCCATGCCAATTCTGTTGGATACTTGTGCTACCATTCCAACTAATCTGCAGCTGCATGAACCTGTTGTCTTCCGTGACATCATGGATGTTGTTGGATGAGTAGGTCAAGAGCAGTAGAGTGCTAAATCTACAGCTGCTTCTTCAGAGGCTGCTACAGGCAGGTCCCACAAGGGTTGAATCTGGACATTTGAGAAGATTCTGCATGGACACAAAATAGATTGATTATAAATAACTTTGAATGGTCTTATTGACATAGATTTGGCAAACATTTCATGTGTTTCCAATGATCTTGGAAGTATGTGTATATCCTTCAAATAGAATGTTCGATAGTAGTATTGTGGAAGCAGCCTTGAAATACAACCTGTTGCTAGAATTTGACACCTTTTTCCTCAGTCTCCTGCATTTTTAGCACTTAGTGCAATTTGAGTGACTTTTAGTACTTCAAAAAGGAGTACTGTTCTCCCATTGCTAGGCCAGTATCTTCTATTGCTGGCTGCTTTCTCCCATAAGAAATCAAATGACAGTGACAGTTATTGTATGTTCAGAATGGTATTGAAAAGGCACATGCCAGAAAGCAGAATCAGCAGGGAGCTGGGTCAGACAATCGGTAAGAGCAAAATGTGATTCGTACAGATGAAGAGACATGTTACACTTTGGAAATATCATCCCTCAGCATAATTGTGATGCAGAATGAGTGGTAATGAAAGAAGGAGTCAAGACAGAGGCTCTCAGCACATGAGTAGAATGAGATAGATGATGATGATGTGGATGAATACCCAGTCAGTGTCCTATCTTGCCTCTGCTGATGAGGTGAGCAGAATGGTCACCCTGGATCCATGCCCAGTGGGTGGTGCAGAGTTCACCACTTCTGTTATTGGGTACCACGTGTTCTGTCCACGCTTTTATGGAGAATTTTTTGTCTGCTGGGCAGCACGGCTGAGTGTGTGACCTCTCCACAGACTACAGCAGTGATGTAGTGGCAACGTCTTTGGACTAGTAATCGAGAGCCTCAGGCTGGAGACCTTGGTTGGAATCCCACTCTAGCAGATGCGAAATTTAAGCTTAAAAATATTATGTAAAAAATTAAATTAAACAGCGTCTTTAATTAACCGCTAGCCCAATGACTGCCATAAAACCATTGTTAATTGTCATTCTTTTTAAAATACCACCCGGTTCACTAATATCCTTTTAAGGAATAGAATGTGCCATTCTTACCTGGTCTGACCTACATGTGACTCCACACCCACTTACACGTAACTGCCCTCTGGGCAATTGGAGTTGAGCAATAAATGTTGGCATAGCCTGTGATACCCACATCCCATAACTAAATCGTAAAAATAATTAGGGTAAACTGCTGCTGTTCATTGAGTGCAAACTCATCCTCATGCTGATGAAAAATGCTGCCTGAGAAGCTTACAACAAGAATTAAACAATTGAAGTCATCAGGGGCATTAAATTCCACTAATATAATAAGAGTTGCATCATACCTTTGATTTGTAAAATATTTTATATACCATCAAGAAACGTCATTCTATTCATTTGTAAGCGTTCCATGATGAGCAATGTTCTAATACACTTCCTTGCTCTTGCTTGCATCATGCTCCTTTAATCAATGTTTAAAACTTGAGGATTATCTAAATTTCCTAATGCCATGGTGGTCTGCCCTTTCTCTATTCTAATTAGCACTTGCAAGGAATCTGGGTTATACCCATTGTTCCTGGCTAGTGTACTAATCACACCTTGCCCCTGAACAGAGCACATCCAGCAAAATTGGTTCAGTCAACCAAAATATTGGATCTTCAAAATCGTTGAAATATCAGCCTAGATTATGCGCTCAAGGGTGCGTTATATTTATTGTATTTGTATAATTTGGAAGTTTTAAGTTCCTTTTGTACTTTTGAATTCCAATAAAGACTACAGGCTGGAGTTTTGTAACCAAGGTGAATAGCTCAAGTCAGGAAACTTATGGTGAAGGGTCCCTTGACCAGAAATGTTAACTCTGATTCCTCTCCACAGACGCTGCCAGACCTGCTGAGCTTTTCTGTTTTTGTAACTTCTTGACTTGCCAGACCCACCTCGGTTCATTGGACCACAGTAAACCTATTTTGGTCAAGGAGGAAAGCAATGAATAAAGTCTAGCCCATCAACCCCGCAGGCAGATCCTTGGGGTTTCCAAGGTCAGTAGTTTAGAAAGCCAGCCTTGGTTCTCTGAGATTTTCTCCCAGTTATTTTAGAAGCTGTCAGGCCTGATAGCCCTCACGCTTCCTCACCGCTTCCTATGTACTTGGGTGAAATTTCATGCCACTCACCTCCATATCCATGTCAGCCCATAACTACATGCCACTTTATACTGCTCATGGCACCTCCTTAGCCACCTGCCCAGTACCCATCACGGGAAGACTTGGAGCCAGGATGAATGCAAAAAATAAACATCAAGCAAACTAATACAGCTCTCACTCATGCAACTTAATAGTGAAAACTTCTTACTCATGAAACTCATTCAAAACATTTAAGTCTTAAGTGGTTAATTCTTACAAAAGCAAATGTCTTATCAGACCCCACGTTAACAACAGCTAATCCTTCAATAGCATCTTTAAACTGTCAATCAAACTGTAGCATCAGCGCCTTCTGGGCAAATCATAGGCTTTGAAACTCAGTCAGGCATTTCTAAGGACATAACTGTCGCATTTCGATCTGGAGAACTTTTTTTTATGTTTGAAACTTCGTACTTCAAAAATGTTTTATGTGAGAAGAAAGATGTGCATGAAGAAGGAGAAATTGTTTCACATACAGAGCTTGTGGAGAGGCCTACACATGGATGGCTCTGGAGAGAATTTTTTTTTATCCAGAGATTGAAAACTGACAGTTGGGAGGACTTGAGAAGGAGGCTTTTCTCGATTTGTTTCAGCTAAATGCTTGATTTTTGTTTCAAGATTTATATGTTTAATTTTTTTGTCTATTGCATGATTAATATTAAAATCTGTGTATAAGGAAGGGTAGTTTATTTTTGTATGTAAGAGCTGCTTCTTTTTGGGCTTAATACCACCTGAGGGCATTGAAGAAATGTAGAGTGTGATGACCAGTAGATTTAGAGAAGTGGTTACCCAACAGAATCAGTCAGATAGATGGGTGACTGTCTGGGAAGGTAAGAAGGTAGTTCAGAAGTCTCCTGTGGCTATTCCTCTCTCAAGCAGATATTCTGTTTTGGGTACTGTTGAAGGGGATAGTCTCTTAAAGGAATGTAGAGGTGGCAGACCGACCTTCGGCACCAAAAATGAATCATTTCTTAAGTGGGGTTTGTCAAGATATAAAAGAATTGAATTAAAGATTTATTGTCACATGTATTCAATGTAAAAATACAGTGAAAAGTGTGTACCTGCACTGTACATACACGGTGCCATTCACATTAACTTAGAATAAGGTAAGAAAAGAAAGATAACTCAAGAGAAAACTGAAAGAACTGCGGATGCTGTAAATCAAGAACAAAAACAAAGTTGCTGGAAAAGTTCAGCAGGTCTGGCAGCATCTGTGAAGAAAAAAACAGAGTTAACGTTTCGGGTCCGGTGACCCTTCCTCA